TGCCACCACTCAGCCGTTCCAAACATCCCACCAGCTCACGGTTTAAACCCTCTCTATTATTTTCAAGGGATTTTGGACCAGGCCCAATAGAATTGCATAGGCACTTTCCTAAGCAATGCCCCACGCTAACAAAACCAGAAAAGTTGCCAGATTGCTAAAGGATTGCATTACAAAACCCGTGTGCATGGACAAAGTGCATTTTTTAGTCGCATGCTGAAAGGCATAACTCTGACCCAGTAGCTCTCCCCGTGCCAAATAGCAGCCAGAGGTTAGGGTTTGAAATGTGAAAAGTGTTTGTTTCACATACATGGCTGACAATGACCGAATCAAAGGGATTCAGACCTTCCTGAATGACTTTACTCCCCAGCTGCTGAACTGACCGCTATGTTAGGCTGCTGAATAGAAATAAAAGGATTTGCTTTGAAATAAAAAGCAGTCTAAATCAGACAGTTGATACTGATGACTCTCAATAATCCGTATGAAAATGTTTATTTGTATGAGGCATAATTTCGGGAAATCAGCAACCTGAAGCACCATTCATAGCAATGGGACTCACTGCTCCCAGGAGGCCATTCCAACCTCATTTAATATCCCCATCAGTCAGGCAGAAATCTATTTTTGTGGTACAGGATCAGAGACAGTGATATAATATATATTTATTTTGCTTTAAAGACATATGAATTAAAAAGAATCCATTAAATAGGACCTCGGGCTTCAGTACGTGCACTATGGCCACATTTTACAGATGGTTTTTAGGTACATAAATAGTGTCGTAGATTTGTGAAGTTATGTGTGCATGAGCAGTTTCAGACTGCAGCTGTTCCAGCAATTCATGTATTTGTAAAGAAGAGCGGAGCAAATCGCTACATTTTCACACATGCTTTTCTGAAAACTTCTTCCAGTGTTTCAGACTCTCTCTGATACCTATGAAGACCTAACCTCGTGTCTCGTATGAGCGGTGTGTGTGAAGGTGACACCTACTGGATACTTGGAACTGTGCAGTTTGCACTCCTGGAACTTTTAAATAGGGAATAATAAACTGAATTCAGCATTCATCAGTCTTCCAGCCACTCCACCCCAAGCCTGTAGCGTTGCTTGGGGTTGTTGTGGCCAAAGTGCAGGACCCGGCATTTGGTCTTATTAAACCTCATTCCATTGGCTTCAGCCCAGCTATCCAGCCTGTCCAGATCCCTCTGTAGGGCCTCGCTACCCCCAGGCAGATCGACACTTCCAGCCAACTTGGTGTCATCTGCAAACTTATTGAGGGTGCACTCAATGCCCTCATCCAGGTCATCAATAAAGATATTGAAGAGGACAGGCCCCAGTACCAACCCCTGGGGAACATCACTTGTGACTGGTCGCCAGCTGGATTTAGCTCCATTGACCACCACTCTCTGGGCCCAGCCCTCCAGCCAGTCCCTTACCCAGCCAAGAGTGTACCTGTCCAAGCCACGGACTGCCAGCTTTCCCAGGAGAATACTGTGGGAGACAGTGTCAAAGGCCTTGCTGAAGTCTAGGTGGACTACATCAACAGCCTTTCCCTCATCCACCAGGCGGGTCACTAGATCATAGAAGGAGATCAGGTTGGTCAAGCAGGACCTGCCCTTTGTGAACCCATGCTGGCTAGGCCTGATCCCCCGGTTGTCCCGCACTTGTCATGTGATCTCCCTCAAGACAATCTGTTCCATAACCTTCCCTGGCACCGAGGTCAGGCTAACAGGCCTGTAGTTCCCCGGGTCCTCCTTACAGCCCTTCTTGTAGATGGGAGTCACATTGGCAAGCCTCCAGTCTTCTGGTACTTCACCCGTCAACAAGGAGCACTGATAGATGATGGAAAGCAGCTCGGCTATCACCTCCGCCAGCTCCCTCAGCACTCTGAGGGAACATTTATACTACTAGAAAACCTTTCTTAGTTGGAGGCTTCTGCAATGTTTTGTTTGTAAACTAACATAAATTGAGCATAAAGTTCCCTTATTTGCATGTATGGATTAATTGTCAAGGGCAAATAGTCCTGAACTCCAAGTAGAAGGCTCCAGGGAGACCTCATTGCAGCCTTCCATTACTTGAAGGGAGCGTATAAACAGGAGGGGGAATGGCTGTTTACGAGGGTGGATAGTGATAGGACAAGGGGGAATGGGACATTAAAATGAGACAGGGGAGGTTTACGTTAGATATTAGGAGGAAGTTTTTCACACAGAGGGTGGTGACACACTGGAACAGGTTGCCCAAGGAGGCTGTGGATGCCCCATCCCTGGAGGCATTCAAGGCCAGGCTGGATGTGGCTCTGGGCAGCCTGGTCTGGTGGTTGGTGACCCTGCACACAGCAGGGAGGTTGAAACTACATGATCATTGTGGTCCTTTTCAACCCAGGCCATTCTATGATTATGATTATGATTATAACACAGTTGCTGTGGCTGTGTATACCCATGGCAGGGCCTGGGGGATGTGTCTGAGAGTACATAAGAATGGAAGGATTGAATACACTTCCTGTGTGAGGCAACAAGTCAGAATGCCTCTGATTCATTTATTTCCACAACAGATGGAAGGCACTGGAATTCCTTAGTGTTTTAAACAGCATATGGTAGAAGGTTGGGACTTTATTCTCAGTCATTTAAACATGAATTCTGTTCTTTGAAGTAGCTCAGAGTGGTCAGATTTCATATAATTTTTTCAAAAGCTATTAAAAGTGTTAATTATTTGAGATTTTTAGAAAGAGGAACTGCGTAGATACCAATTATCAATTGCAGCCTCCAAGTTTCCTGAATTGCTGTTGTTTTAGCAGTTTTGGTGGGCAGAAACCACTCCTTATTATCTTACAGAAAAGCAGAACAGTGTACTGCTGAGAGTCTCTGCAGTGCCACTGCAAGACGGCCATCTGTGTATGCGGGTTGGTAGAGCTCCTCTTGCTTTAATGGATTAAAGCCAGTGCTTACACCAAGTATTACAGAACCACATGGTCTTGCAAAAATCCCTTCCCTTCCCTTCCCTTCCCTTCCCTTCCCTTCCCTTCCCTTCCCTTCCCTTCCCCAACTAAACACAGTTGACAGAAGTGTAGGGCTGGTCACCAGTTGGACTACTTCAAGCTCATTAACACTGGTTAGCTGATGGGAAAACAGTGATAAACAAGTGAACACTGCTCCATGTCGTAACAGTTTTTTGCTTAGTGCTGGAAAGAATGATTTCCTGTTTTCAGATAAAATGACGTGTCTCTCAGGGTGATTTTGTCTTCAGAAGGGCTCATCTGTGAGGTATTTGTTCACAGGACACTTGTGAGAGACAAAAGTGGGGAGAATCAGAATTATGCTGAAAACCAGATCATCGCGGCCTGTCCTCCTTTTTCTCTTAGGTTTATTAATGTAGTATTGCTATGTGAGGGGTTTTTATTTTGATTTGATTTTTCCTACAGGATGGCCTTAATCTAAGAAAAAAACGTAATTAGCATTCTTGGAGCTTCCCAAGACTATATCCAAGTCTAACATTGGCTTTAATTAGAGCCACCTCAAATATTTGTGCTGGAATCTGACACCACGTGAACTTTGCTTAGCTCCACGTTCCTCTGCAACATTTGTGTTTAATAAATGTTCATGAAAACCACCATTCCAATTTTAATCAATATTGTTTTCCTAAAAAGCCACTGAAACTTGTGATTTAAATGTAAAACCAGCTTAATAATGACAACTTCAGCTGAATATCTCCTTTACACTTGAAATAAATGAAACCTTCAGGATACTTGCAGGTATGAAAATAAAATGTCATGCAAATCTCTTTGAGAAGAGACAGTAATTTTGCACAGCCTGAAAGCTAAATTCTTCTGTAATAGACAGACCTCACGTCCCATAGCAAAATTCAATTTCAACCTGCTCACTCTATCAATTGCATTATAAGCCCACCCCACACACTTCAAGTGCATTTCCAGCCAGCCCCCAGATGCTTGGTGGCATGGCCAGAAGATGGCAGACGTGTTTTGTGGGAGGAAGGAAAGTGTGCCAAGCAGACAGGTGTTCTGGAGAATGAACTAATTCATGGTCAAGACTCAAAGTGTTAATGTTTTAATTAGCCACGTAATGGCTAAACTATAAGGTATGACAGGATTTAGACATCTGCATGTGTACAAAGGGCCCAGCTATTGCTGATATGGGACATGCTTCTGAACAAAGCAACACAGTGCTGGGCTTGCCTGTGCTGCCCTGCGTTTACTGTCAGCCTCTGTAACAAATTCTAACAAAGCCATGGCAGAATCACAACATTAGACCACAACCACAACCAAATGCCTCCACCTATCCAGCACGCACATGTCTTCTCTTGCCTTATGAAATTATAGTGAGTTGAATTTTAATCTGCTGTTACTACTACTACTACTACTACTACTGTTATTTGGTCTGCCACTATTTCTTTCTTTCCATAACTTTGGCACGGGTAGGTTCAGGGATAAGCATGTAATGAGTTTAGTCACTGCCCTACAGGCTGACACTTTCCACTCTCAGCTATCAAAAACCAGCAATTTCTGAATTCTTTTCAGAATTGCAAACAGTTCCTTTTCCTTCTAATTCATGGTTTTGGACCATGACTGTAAGAAGCGTAACTTTCTAGACAAAGGAACTTCACTGTCATTTTAAGATACTCCACTTCATTAGAGAACTGAATTGTTGTCAGTGAGTTTCATTCGTAGGCTTTAGCTAATCTTTAAGATAATCAGGGCACAGCTCACAGGTTCCCTTTAAGGTAAGGACAGAGATCTTGAATGTAGTTAAATTTTATAATGGAGGCTAGCATAGGATGGGATCTGAAGATGTGGTAATATTACATAGACATTTGTCAAAGGTTTGAGGGCTAGACAGGTTAATCACAGAATCACAGAATTACAGAATGGCCCTGGTTGGAAGGGACCTCAAGGATCACGAATCTCCAACCCCCTGCCACATAGGGCCACCAATCTCCCCATTTAATACTAGACCAGGCTGCCCAGGGCCCCATCCAACCTGGCCTTGAGCACCTCCAGGGACGGGGCATCCACAACCTCTCTGGGCAATTGCTGGAGTCCAGCTGAAATGTCATAGAATTGTGCTTAATTCCATCCAAGCCATTGTTTACCAGGGTAGAATAAGCCTTGTGTGGAACTGGAGCTGTAGTCATGAGAGAAGTTGCTACTAGTGAGGAATCCAAGAGTCCTAAAAGAAGAATTTGGTCAATCTGGATGAGTACTTTCAACAGGATATTAAAAGGCTCAAAATGTTTCCCATTGCCATTGACAATTTTTTTTGGAAAGGGTTATTGTAGGCTTAAATCTCCATACATTTTAATTATGGCTTTCAAACACTAAGCCACAGCGGTGGCTGTATGCACTGGTCCAATGGGTCCAGGATGCCTTTTCTGCATCACCTTTGATGGCAGGACAGAGAGAAGATGGCATAAAATGCAATGAAGGATCATTCAGTTGGCATCACTGAATGTTTTCAGACTAGAAAGGCAGCTGAACACTGAGATGGGCTTCCATGTGAGTTGTGGAAATTCTGCCATTGATGTTTTTTTAACAGCAGGGTATAGAAATACCTAAAAGGAACACTCTTGGTAATTTTTACCCTGGAATGGCAAGAATATGGATAGTTGGTATTACTAAGAGTAGCATATGGTGATGAACTCAATCAAAATTACTATGCACATTTATTTTAATAATTTGTCTCAATGGATTAACTGAACATTCATAATATTTACGCAGAAATCGATGGATTCTTTCTAACATTTGTGTAGTGCCACTATAATGTGTTATATTGTATTAAACTGCATGGCATCATTTTGTGGTGAACCGAAATGGCAAAGAGAACCTGCTGGAAAAAAAAATCTGGAAGGAATCAAAGTTTCCCTTTTACAGGCTGGACAGTTCCTTGGTCCAGCTCAGCATTTCCACACCAACCACGTGCCAGTTCTGCTTTTGAAGAAACGTTCCTGGAATTGCAGCCTCAGATTATTCATCAGTTTTGCATCAGTTTTCCCCAGATGCAAAAAGTCTGCAGATAGCAGCTACTACAGAAAACATATTTGTCTGGCATGACGGTTCTTATAAAAGGATCTTTGTTGGCACTGTTCTCCTTTTTGAGCCAGATCCTCGCTCCCTATCCAGAGTCTGATTAAACAGGACTTGATCCTACTGATGAGCACTGTGGGAAACTTTTTCAAAGCTGCAGTGGATGCTGCCAGGACCTCCGATTCCTGAATGCCCCCTCCTGCTGCCCCTAGGTGCCTTGGCACTGTGTCTGTAATGATGCTCTGTGAGTCACAGTTTCTCCTGTCAACCATCCCCAAAACCCTTCCAAACGGGATGACGCAGAGTATTTGCACTGGCTGTAGCAGGATTTTGATCAGGTCATCTGGATGTGCTTTCTTGCTCATTTGACCTGACTGACATCTGCACTGCTGGGGAAACTGCTGAGGAAGAGGATGGGATCATGCACAGAACCTCATGGAGTCACGGTTCACATTCCCTGAAAACACAGTTACAGTGTTTCTCATCATCTTTGTCTCAAAAGCTTGTGATTCACATATGGTGATGATTGTTACTATAGATGCAAACAGCCTCAGTAAATTTTCCATTCTCTTTATTTGTTCCTGGCAACACGTTGAAAACATGAAATAGTTATAAAGAGAAGAAGAATATACGGATTTTATGTAGATGGATTATTTATATAAACCAAAATAATCTCCATCACAGCTGGAACAGTAACAGTTACAGTGTTTCCACAAACAAATGAACTGGAAGGAATAGTGATATCAGAATAGTATTGAAAACACCTGTAATCCCTTGTGGCTAAGCTCTTCATGGGAAAAAAAGTGTTTTACGGTCTGACTGGCTCATACTCTTACACATGCACACTGTTAGTGATCATGGGAGGAGGGGAGAGGAGCCAAGGAAAGAGCCTGGGTACACCTGAGCTCCTAGAGTTATCTATCTGCCTATGAGGTCTGCATATTGCAGAGCCAAATGAATCTCTACGAAGTACAAAACAATTGTAGTCACTGCCAGAGTCTGTTGTGCCGGGCCCACCAATGTTGGTAGATTATCTCATGCTTGTTCTGTGTTCTCAGAGCCATTTAAAACCATCCCTTCTTGCTCCTGCCAAGTTACATTGACAAATTTAATCAATATTCCCTATCTCTTAAGCCAGCAACTGGCAAAATATACTCCATTTTTACCTCTTTCAGATATTCTGTATTAGAATAACATCCATTTATTTACTTTTAAATGGAATTTCGTTGGGCCATGTGGCCAAGTTATCGGCTCTCGTGCTGTTGAGTTCAGTGGAATTAAAGAAACTGATTTAAACTAGTTGACTCCATGGCAAAAGGAGAAAGTTTTTAGAGGTTTGGCATCACTTCTGTTTAATGACATAAAGCCAAATATAACTGTCTGAATCATTTCTAAGTGTTTTTCTCCAACTCTCGAGAGAAAATGTAAAGCACCACGTCATTTAACTCACTTTCTCTGACTGCAGCAGCAAGCATTTCATTAATAACAGTAATTTGGGTCCCATTCTGTTTCAGAAATGTTGTGGATGCACTACAAGGTCTGTAACAATGCACGTTCAGCTCATTCCAGATGGAAGTTACCTGTGGGTGATTCACCTCAGTCAGTGGAAGTTCAGTACGGATGGATAGGGTTTGTAGCTCTTGTGTTTGAAACAACACCCAAGAGGAGTTTATGGACTGATTACATGGACTAAACATCACAGTGACAGGTACCAAGCATTACTTAAATATAAATATTTGTGTAAGAGAAGCCGGTTTTCTTACCTGCAGTGCTAGTTCTGAGCCTTCAGTGCTTGTGCTGATGAAAGCATTTTATCTTTCAGGAGATTCCCTAGTTTTCAGATCAGTCACAGCTCCAAGCCGTTCAGTTGTGCTCTTCGGTCCTGCCATCCCCCAGTGGCCTCCGTCCTGGTTGTCGCTCCAGTCACTACCAGATCTCAGCAGCTTTTTTAAAGGAGGGAATCAAAGACATGTACTTAATGTCTGTATAAAATAAAAGCTTTGAAAGCATTTTCTTTGGTAGCTCCCATACTGCACTCTTTCTTTAAAAGATGCAAATTGTGAGCTGCCAACAAAGACAGCCAGTGGAACAGGCAAATTACAGGTCATAAAAACCTGGCCTGGACAAAAGTGTTAACCAATAACATACAGAGAATATTCCTGGGTTGGACTAGGGGGATTAAGAAGCATGAGCTGATTATGCTAATTTTCTTCATCTCTTAATATCTTTAGATTGCTTCATTGAGGTTGAAAGAAAACCTCCCAGTAATTTATGTGGAGAGTTGTTTTATCCTTCATTTCCAAGGAAGACATCTGCTTTGTATGGTAAGTAATACACTGCACATGGTAAACAAGAATTTGTTCTCTTCTCAGCCAAACATGTAACACAGAGTTGGTTTCACTTCTTATCAACCATTGCCACAAAGTTTAATATACTGGTACCTCCTATCATCAAATACTAGCAGCTTTTCACTTATATGTCAGAGAATCCAAGTGTGTCATTTGCTCTCCCTACTTCTGTACAGTTCCTCATTCAGGCTATTTTCAAAACATCTAGTTTTCACATTATTTAAGCAATTAGCAGTATGAAACCTCTTATTCTCACTTCCCTCTCCCTGAAAAGTAATATTCCAGCACATAAGTCCATTAAGCTCCTGTTCAGGGACACATTATCATCTCTGCTGCCATGGTCAAAGCAAGGAACAATTTTCTGTCTTCTAAATGTCCCCCACTTCTATGTGTGCTTCGACATCATTAGAGATGATAAATAAGGTAATAAAACAAGCTGAACTGTAAGCAGGAAGAGAAGGAAAACTCTTTCCTTACCTATTAGCCCTCTTTAATCTTCCCTTAAGTGAATCAGGAAGATTAGCTTACGCAAGCAGTTATAGAAAGAGGTGGGAGCCAAGAGGTTTTTAAGATTCATTTACTTCATTGTGGTCTATCAAAAGTGATTGCTCAGCCTCTCCTAATCACTTTAAGATGATAAATTCCCATGGCTGAGTGCAAAGTAAAAAAATATAAAGTCATGGCCTCTTGAAGGAATGAGAACTTTGCAACTCAATTCACTGGGGGAGTGTTTTGTGTTAGTGCCTCCTTCTATTCCTACTGCTCATTTTGTCCAGTGGAGCTGTTTCCAAGCTGGCACGTACTTCTTGGCAAGGTGGTTTCCCTAGCAGAGGATGTGGGCTGCAACTGCAGCTCTCTACCTCCTGGTGGGCATGTGTTCCATGTCATTTGATGGACTTCAGAATCCTCCTCTCCTCCAGGGCAGCACAATGGCTGCACACAGATCTGAGCAATTCCTCATCAGATGTTGCAAGAACTGTTGATTGGCCTGGATTACTGACATAAGAGAAAGCCAAACTCTCACCGAAGCTTTACTGACAATTAAAATAAAACAAAGGCAGAGGAACATGCACAGTGGTTCCCCAAGGACTGGGCTCTGGGGCTGCCGACCAATGTCATCAACTGCTTGTGGATGCATGGTGTGTGCATGGTGTTCTGCAGCTGTACTGCTTGCCTGGGCATTGCTGGCTAAGGATACAGAAGTACCTGACAGAAGTGTCATTAACTATATTTACAGTGGTCTGACAGATTACTTCTGAAGAGTGGAATGACCTGTCCTCGCTGCTCACCTCTACGTATACCCACACCAATTTCTGCCTCTCTTCAGCCTTTCCCAGCCCCTTATTCCTCCCAATCACTGGAGCCTCAGATTGAGATCTGAATGATGTTGGGCTATGATCCTGTCTGCTCTGATGTCTCTGCTGTCCACCTGGGATCAGACCACATCATAGAATCATAGAATCATAGAATCATAGAATCATAGAATCATAGAATCATAGAATAGCCTGGGTTGAAAGGGACCACAATGATCATCTGATTTCAACCCCCCCTGCTATGTGTAAGCAGCAGTCTCAGCCTCCTGGGATGGCTGAATGGAGCATGGTGGTCTTTCTCCATTGTACCCTAACTAACCTCAGCTTAATGTGGATAACATTACTGCAGAGTATTGCATGGAAGCTTCCCCCATACCACAGATATTATCTAATGTAATGCAACATCTTTAAGTTCCCATTTTTCTTTCGCAGAAATTAGCATAAAACCACTTTTAGTAGAAATAATGAATTAATATTAAATGCCACTTTTTTATATTGCTTTTAAACCATTTGAGCTGTTAATACCATATCACTGACTTTGACACTGGAAATTCATGATGGGTAATGGAAGAAGAGATTTGGAGTGAATTAATTCAGTGGGTGATATATCTGTCAGTAAACAGTAAGGAGCACCACCATGCTCCACCAATTCTGAATCCTTATAGCTGAATATCCACAGCAAAGTTTGAGAAAACTGCTTTCTTTTCTTTCCCCACAAGGGTGTCCTAAAAACGGACTGGAACTGAAATAAAACTTAAAAGTCTCAATTCCAGATGTAATCAAAATTCCTCATTTGGGTTTGAATTTAATTGAGGTGCTAATGAATCTTCCTGTGACATCAAAAATGGGATCTCAACAATTGGATTTTAATGGTGTCTTTCTGATTCTGATGAGTCCAGAACAAATTTGGTGATGATAGTCCAACATTAGAATAGATCCCAAGACAAGGGAATTTAGAGACCAACAGGTCTGAATCCATCACGTGGTCCAACAATATGCTTCTAAGTTTCACAATAATGGATCAAATCTGCATGGAGGCACATTGCTCCTCTCAGCATACAATGCACAGTAAAGTAATTATCTCAAAATTAAGAGTGTTTGAAGACAGTTAATGGTAAAGATGCCACAAGCCTTCACAGGAAAAATACTGACAGTAGGTTTCACTCCCCCTTACATCTTCCCTCCTCCAGAACTAGCAAAAATAACACAGAATGTCAAGTGCAACATCAAAATAATTCAGGGGTAGTTTGATGTTCCTAAAATATTTGTAGCCATAAAGAATTTCAATTTTGCATCTTATTTCCTGCGCATCTGTCTGGCTGACCATGCAACCAAATTGAACTGTATTTCTGAATCCAGCTGTTTCTCCTGATGCTGCAGGCCAGAACTCTGAGTGCAGTGGGTCACCACGCTATGCTGGTTGAGCTTCTTCTCTAAGTTTCAATAATGAGACCTGAATTTTGAGAATGAAAAGGCACAAAGGAATTGGGATAGCTACTGGAGGTATAAGGAAGGGGAGAAGAAACCAAATAGGGCTTCCGACACGGCTGTGATGTAAGAATGAGAACTTTGATTTTAATGAAGATGATGATGAAAAGTAAGCATTCAAAAAAAAAAAAAAAAAGAGTAAACAAATGTCACCCAGTTTATAAGGTGTGGGTGGTAGGAAGCACAGTGACGCCCACAGTCACAGTTGAAAGTAGTGAGGGGACAGGTATGTGGAGAAAGAAACCGAGTTCAGTAACTCTTGTTCTGCACCTGTGGTGACAAGTGGTGTCCCTCAGGGTCCATCGTGGGACCAGTGCTCTTCAATATCTTTATCAGTGAGCTGGACAGTGGGATCAAGTGCACCCTCAGCAAGTTTGCAGATGACACCAAGCTGAGTGATGAGTTGTACAACAGCAGGAAGAGATGCCATCAACTGCAACCTAGACAGGCTTGAAAAGTGGGCCCATGTGAACTTAATGAGATTCAATAAGGCCAAGAGCAAGGCGTTGCAATCGGGTCAGGGCAATCCCAGATATGTGTACAGACTGAGAGAACTCAAGGAGAGAAGCCCTGCTGAGAAGCACTTGGGAGTTCTGGTGGATTAAAAACTCGATGTGAGCCAGCAGAGTGCACTTGCAGGCCAGATGGGCTTTTAAATTCATGTAACTGATTTTTTTATTTAAATGACTTATTTTTGCAGGTTCACGAAGTGATGCAGACTTTTACATATGCAATTTCAAATGACTGCATGAAGAGATAGAAGTTTTGGTAATCAAATGTAGTTTTCATTTGAAATTTAAGAAAAGCACTGAGACTAGTCAGTTTGGAAATGAAATTCCACAGACAGTTCATTGTATCTGAGCCTGTGATTCTCTTGGCTGCAGTGAAATGCCAACATCAGTATGCAGCAGCTGCTGCTCCCTGTAGAATAACGCAGACTTCTCCAACATCTGTAGAGGAAAAGGTCTTCAGAGCTTTGTGTTCTACAAATCACCATCACATGATTACACAAAAATAACCCAGTGGAAAATCTCTACTAAGAATCAAGAATGTATGTTCTTTTTCTCCAGAATCTCCCTCGTTTTTATTACAGGCATAACAAATGTCAGATAAAGAGGAAATTTTTAAAGTAAATGGGGAAAAGAAGAAGAGGGGAATTTCCAAGCTTTCTGCCAGCAAAAAGTCTGGCTGAGAGCATTACCATATGGCATATGTTTGCATTTATTAGCATTGCCCATAGATAAGCATTTTCTTTGGAGATGGCTGACAACATTTAACACAGTGATTTTCCTTTATTCAAGAACACTTATGGAAGCTGCTCCTCCTCTGCCTGCATCTACCACTTGCTCATACAGAATTCATTTTGTATACTCCACAATGCAAAACTCAACCTAACAATCCTGAAAATAAGCACAATGATTCAAACACATTCCTCCACATTAGCCTTTCCCCCAAAGCTTTCCTATTTTTTTTTCTATCTGGGCTCTGCTTGCGGCAGCTCAGCAAGGAGCTGTGCTTTAACCTTGCCACAGTTCCAAGGAAAGCCGTGCTGAGCATAGCTGGATGGCTGCCTGGAGATGGGCTTTAGATCTAAATTTGCTACAGGATTCTGTGTAACCAACTGAGCGGGAGTATTTCAGCAGGGGTAGATTTTGTATAGCTAACAAGACTGTATTTAGCCTGCACAGAGCTCTTCTGCATGGCTGGAATGAGTTTTGCCCTTTCTAAGGATGGCGGAGATTTTATGCTGATTGATCATTTTTTTAGGAAGTATTTTAATTGGTAGATATATAAATGGATAAAAGGAGATGAGCAGAGTTCATCAATATTCTGTATTAACATAAATATTTTATATCGATGCATCGTTTCAAGCACACTTTAATGAATGGAATACTTTAAAGCCTGCCCAAATCATGGCACACTATGTTTGTTCTTACATTTCCATCTGTTGCCACAGAGAGGTGGTGGCCCCTAGCAGGCTCAGCAGAGGCTATAGAAAGCTGAGACTTCAGGGTGGATGCAATTGCTGCTAACAGCTTTTAAAAACATGCTTCACACCAGGGAGGTGCTTTCTCAATTTTAAACTTGCTTGGAGCTATTGTGTAGACAAAGCTTTAAGCGGCTTTGATTTTCAGATATTCGTTTTTTATTCATTTTTTATTCACTTTTAGAAGGCTTTAAAGCCAATTCAGGCTGCTTGAAACATGACCTATGGTGGGACTTCAGTGCTTCTGAAAGCAGAACTAGCTGAAGTACTTCCAGACCTGGCTATTTGGGTAGATTTTCCATGTTAGGTATGACTCAACATGAGAGCTCCATCATGCTCAATCACGTAACAGCTGACCTTTCTTGCAGCAGCAGGGTAGAGTAGTTTACCTGTTGCTACTGAAGGTGCAGCTGATAGAGATGTAGGAAATGGCTGGGGAGCAGCTCTCAGCAGCAGCAGCCTGTAAGATCAGGAGTGTGATGCTGCAGCTGTGCAGCAGGCAGGTGACCCAGAAGTGCTGCAGCACAGAATGATGAAAAGGAAACTAATGGAGTAAGTGTCAAATGCAGTGTATGAGCTTGGGCAGGTCTTATCTCAGTGATTTGCTATTGATGCAAATCAATAAAATAAAGTGGAAGTACCTCCTTATCTTAAGAATTAATTCACTGATATTAATCTACCTCTTTAAAAGTATAAAGTGCTAAATAAATGTATTATCAGAAGGGCAAGAGGAAAATTCAGCTGTAAATCCCTGGTTGCTGCATATTCTTATCACCAACTTTTCATAATGGTTTCCATCTTGGGCTGTTGATAGGACTGTCAATGCCAGACTTCTCTGGCACAAAGCTTTATGTCAGAGCCTTATTCCTTCCCCACGTTTGCAGCAGCTGCAGCAATCACACTTCAGCAGTTATTCTGAACCACTGAAGACAAATAAAACATTAGTAATTTAAGCCTTACAGATGCTTGTGTATTACTTCCTCATGAATATGTATATTCTCCTGTAATTCTGATATTAATTCTCTACTTCATGTGTAATTATATCCTTGTAGAATGTCTTTCTATACATTGAGGTGAGTTTATTCACTCACTTTTTGATTATGAAGGAATGCTACACAGGCAGTAATTCTTCAACTGTTAGATCTGCTATGAAGAGATTCTCTTTCTGGTGGTTTGCTGAGAGCAGCACAGTAAACCAGGAGGTTCTGCCTGATTTTCCATAACAAGAGACAGCATGCCCAGAGGTAGAGTGCATACATAAGCACATATCAGAACAAGTTTGGTAGCATATTTCATACATAATTTTGTGCTTTATGAGAATATGCAAATATCTAGATGATCCTGACTGACTGTGTTCCACTTTCATGGAGTTCTCTTAAGAACACATGAATATTTGATTTTTTTTCTCCATTACCTTCTTGGACCTTAAGTTTTCTTTTACGGGAAGATGCTTTTATTGCATAATAGCAGTGTAATAGAGCTTAAAAAGGGTATTGACTTCTATTTCATGAATTTAATATTTTCAGGCTGACTTATCGTAATTAAAATTAATCCTCTGATCTTGATTTTGTCAAACACCTATTACAGTATGAGTGTTAGTAAGTTCATCTTGGTCATTAAGTCTTAGATCTGTATTTAAGATCAAATGCTGAGATCCCACTGAGATGAACATTTTGACTGTCTATCAAGATAGTTTGGAAATTTGGTAAAGTTTCTTCAAACCTCTTATAGGAACTTTAACTCATGCTTTGACCATACACAATACTTACACATACCGTTGTAAAGCCACAGCTGGCACATTTAATACCAGCTTATTCTGTAAGAAGCTCAGACCTTCAAATTAAGAGTGCACAAAGCCCTTCCTTCCTGGTGTTTCAGTTGCCATCTGATCTTCAGGTGTGCAGAGGATCACCCTAATATCATTTCTGGCTGATGAGGACTGCAACACTAAGCACACTGGAATGTTGTGTGCAAGCAGTTCAGAGGTCTTCCTACCATATAGTAATACAGCTTCAGCCTGGGCCAACACTAGTTGTTTTAATCCAGTTCTCATGACACAGTCAAGTGGGGTTTTTGAAATTTCAGGCCTGAAGTTTACAGGACAGTCTTCTTTGTCTTTTTTTCTGTAAATTTCTAGTTATCATGAATATGATAAAACCCTTGGAAATATTTCTGGAGTGTACATTACGAGCCCCAGTGCTGATTCTTTGAAGCTATTTCCAGTCTGTAGATGTGTTATTTGAATTGCTCATCTTGTATTCTGTCCCCCAAATCCTCTATCTGTGTCTATAGATCATTGGCCAGCCACACTTTTGGTAATAAAATCACCCAACCACAGAAGCAACAACTGCTACTTTCACTATTGTGGAAAACCAAAGTGTTTATTTCCTGCTGGAGGGTAAGCATGCAGGTGACCGGGTTTAAAATCCTATCCAGAAACTGCAGCAGAAAACCAGACTAAGCCCAAGTGAAGTATAATCTTAGGAAAAGCCACTGTAATAATACTTGAAATGTAGTTTTGACTACGACTCATCTGCTAAAGCTTTCACATCTGGAAATTAAACATCTAAGTCAGTTAGTCACCTGCAATTCCCTTTACAGTCCGTGCTGATGACCATGCATGGACAGAGGGTGGCTAAGTTCATGCATCTCTTGTCTGTATTAGGAGCTCAGACACCTATACGTCAATGCCATTGCAGATATCTAAAAAGTTAGATATCTAAATCTGAACTAGTCTCTCTCTAGTCCACAGAAATCTGAAGTTCAGGCAAATCACAGAATCACATAATCACCAAGACAGAAAAAGTCCTCCAAGATCATCCAGTCCAGTCATCCACCTATCACCCATATTTCCCACTAAACCATGTTCCTCAGTACAACATCCAAATGTTTCTTTAACACCTCCAGGGACAATGACTCCTCCACCTCCCTGGGCAGCCTGGGCCAACGCCTCACCACTCTTTCTGGAAATAAATTTCTCCTAATGTCCAACCCGAATCTCCCCTGGACAACCTGAGGCCATTACCTCTCATCTTATTACCGTTACCTGGGAGAAGAGGCCGAACCCCACCTCACCATGGCCTCCTTTCTGGGAGTTGTAGAGAGAAATAAGGTCTCCCCTAAGCCTCCTCTTCTATGACTGAACAATCCCAGTTCCCTCAGCCACTCCCCATAAGATTTGTGCTTCAGACCCTTCACAGCTTTGCTGCCCTTCTCTGGACAAACTCCAAGGCTTCAGCGTCTTACTTGCAGTGAGGGGCCCAAAACTGAAAACAGCACATGAGGTGCAGCCTCACCAGGGCTGAGTACAGAGAGATGATCACTTCCTTGCTCCTGCTGGCTGCGTTATGGCTGAAATAAGCCAGGATGCCATTGGCTTTCTTAGCCACCTGGGCAGTAAATCCTATATAAAGCACAGAAATGGAACTGCAGCCCAGCTGGCAGAAGGTGACTGACAGAAAATCTGCAAGGATAGCATGGAGTCAGAACTGTAACAGTTGCTGCTGCTGCTGAAGTCAATGTGCACTTCAGCGATTAACACAGAGGCAGCACAAAACTGAAATGCAAGAAAGAGATGACTTAGCATGCTCAGCACTGAAAGAGATCATTGAAGTCTGGGCAGTGCTGAAACCCAGTAGTTAAACAAGATCGATATCTTCTTGGAATGCACAGCTGTAAAGATATCAGGCAGGACAGATTCCATTTGTCCTGCCCATGGGCGAGCAGGTTTAAGTGCTGAGGACTCGGGGGCAAAGTTGTTTTTTTCATACATAGTTATATCTTGCAATTGTTCAAGCATAAAAAAAAGAAAGTGGACTGAAAAAATCACTATCCCCTCCCTCCCCCCCCCCCCCAAAAAAAAAAAAAAAGAGAAAAACTGTAAATAAAAACTTGCAGTTTATTTTTCAGTTTAAGCAGCACCACAAAGAGAAAGGCTATGGAGTACTATGTGTGATAAAAGCCCAAAGCTCCACTGAGCCTACTTTCCTTCAGGCACCTGCACGTTTGGCTCAAACCCTCTGTTTGTTTACCACATGGAAACAAATGTGTAATGCATAAATCCTCATAAAGGCAATTTATTTTTCCCCTTCATTTGTTATTTCTTTCAACAGAAAAACCTACCTGAAAAGAATTGCAGCAGGTCAATAAATCAACAAAAAACTTTTTCAGATGATGTAGCACCTTTAGGATAGTGCATGCTTTGCCTACATGCATATTCTGGAGATTTATTCAACCCATATTTGAAAAGAAATGAATTCAAAGAGCCTTTGCTATAGACTGGGAGCAAAAAGAAAAAAAAAAAAAGAGCACAATAATGGCCTACTACATAATAAACAGAGTCAAGGCTGATCTGCCAATGTCTTCTTTAAAATAAAGAAAAGTGAACAGGAATAACAGCCACCCTGAACAGTGCTACTTCCTTGGCTGAGAGGACATGGGTCACTTTATTCAGCATAAATTCTTCCAGAAATTATCAAGGTCCTGAAAAATTCAAAAGAAATACAAGCAGTTTGTAGCATGCTGAAATCCTTCCGTTTCTACAGAGATATGTGTGAATGGCGAGAAGCATTCTCCCTTATCACAGAAAGGCTATTTACTTGTGTATCCATGCTAAATCCTTCCAAACAGGATGTCTTTTTCAGAGACACAAAGCATTGATTTTGATGTTGTTCACGCAGCCTCTTGTCCCTCTAGTCCTTAAGTCACATTTTTGACAGTGACCAATATTTAACCTCTGCACGTATTTAAGAAACCCCACAACAGGCAGGCAACGAACAAGCAGCTTATGACTAAACCTTGCCTTCAATCCTGACACGTGGTTTTCCTTTCCAATTTTTTCCTATTTTATGTTGATAATCATTTTGTTAAGTGTCTTACATTGTTCTGACTTTTCTTTAGCTCAGTGTACTTTCTTGTAGAACTTGCAGAGGACAGATTTTACACCCCGCATGTTGTTTTGTAGCAGCTCTCTCAATGACGGTAGGAGAAATATAAAGGGTGAGGATGGATGTGGAAAGAACACATGGAACAGAGCCAAGATTTACTGCCCCAAACCTCATACTTTGCTATGAGGAATATTGCCGTTTTTCTGCATCTATCTGCAAATTTAGGAGAAGTTCAGCCATATTCTCACATAGGCCTGCTGTACACAGCTCGCATATGCGAATTCGAGGAATGAAGCAAAATTCTTGTTTATTTAGAAAATATATTAATAACAGTTACAATTATCACATAAAATACTAAAAAAAAAAGCAGATATTAACATTTGCAGAATACATGCTATTACTAAAATAAGGGAAATAAACCTATGTTTCTTGTGAAAGCTGGGTGTCAGCTTCTTTGGACTGTTCAGAAGTTAGTGCCACGGGAAAACTTTGTATCTTGCTCCTGGTTTACTTTTTCAACACAGCAGGAGTGCTCTCAGGGATGGTGAACAGTGAGCCTTACATAACAGTGAAATGGGGCAGCAGCCCCTGCAATACATCCACACAACTAGTGCCATCAATAAGGGCTGTTTCTATTTAGACAGACAATTATTTTGACCAGGATTGAGCTCAAGTTGTGATACTGGTTCAGCTATTGCTCGACAGTGACTTTTGCTCACTACTGATCCAGACTGAATTTGTTTTTTATTTTTTAAAGAGAAACTTCTTCACCTCAATCTCTAGATGCCTCCTCTCATAGTTCAATTTGATGGTAGGGTGAATACAGTATTAAAAACAGTCTGCTTAGGTAGTTGGTTTTTTTCTTACTGGTAAGGGAGAGAGGTATTAAAACATTCAATTTTAACTTTAGTCATCGGTATGAAAATTCAGTACTTAATTAAAACAGAGTTCCACCACGACATAAAATCATGCTGAAAACACAAACACCATTTGGTGTGATGGTGGATTTAGCATTTGACAGCCCTTGCACACCTGGGAGATGACTATGTGACCATATCTTTGTAGTCATTACAAACTGTCTGCAGTCTTTTCCTTTCACTGTGAATGAAATATTGTGTCAACCATTACCAGGATCTTGCAAATCATCTGTTTTTGCTCTTCTTCCCTTTCCACCTGTTATCATATATCTCTTTATTTTAAATAGATTTAAACAGCCTCTATAAAAATTTCATTGAAATAAATAGAGCATTTTGTATGTAATAGAACTTCTGAAGATCTCACTGGAACAGTCTAAGTATTCTGAATTTTAAATAGACAGTAATTAAAAATTCATTGCTACTCTTCTAATGAATTAATCCAGCATTTAAATCTGCCCAGCAGCTATTCATTGGGAAAGTTCTAAATGTGGATTCTGATCTTCTCTGATTATTTGATGGTTTTCCAGATGATTTGCTGGTTTCATTTGAAGGGATGGATGCATGTGACCCTTCTCAGCAGAGTTCGTATTCACTAATTCAGAAGACTCTGAAGCATCCAGTCAATGAGAATACAAATAATTTTGCAATAAAAGTTTGAGGGTTTTTTTTTTTTTTTTTTTTTTTTTCAGTTTGCACCTGCTTATTTCCTTTTAGAAAACCATGTATGTAATAAATTAACTGGGTGACTTTCCAAAGCATAATCACAGGAGTTGATGTATCATGTGATTTTTGAAAAGGAATTTTTACAATGAGTTGCAGCTATGAAATTTTACAATCATAGAGGGTTTTTCATACTATGGTGTATAAACATAATTGCTTTTGTAATTAGGCAGCTTCAGCTTCAAACTGCCAATGTGAGTAAATAGAGATTGAAAACCTTGTACAGAGAACTTCAATATAAAGTATTCCACCTGCCCTGGTTACTGAGGGACACCATGTGATGATGAAGGTACAGGATACTCTTCCAACAAACAACAGGAAATGGAGGAGGAGTTTCAATCATATACACTATGATTCCAATGATGAAAGGCAAAAAGGCAAAAAAAGGATTAGAAGAAAGGAATTAGAAAAGTAGAAAGGAAAAAAGCTGCAGCATTTTTTTTTCCTGAAGATTTACTGTTGAGGTTATTACACTCTTCAGGGAGCTAAGGAGGAGTACCAGTTTCAACAGGAATCTACATGTGCAAGGCTTTGGGTAGAAGAACTCACTTTTTTACTTTATATCTCAGCATTATTTAATTTTAGTCTTCTTTCTGGTCCAGAGAATGTCTCTGCAGTTGCTGCCATGACACTCAAATAGCAATTTCATGTAGTGAAACAAGGAAAGCTCAGTTCCTCTAAGGCAAACACACCACTACATGGGAATTCATGGACTGCATGGCTTAGAGGAGCTCCTGTTGAGAAAGAGTGCTGTTACCTGAAATGAAGTGTTACCTGAGGAGAGGCTGACCACTGCTGAAATCCTGGGGAAGGTGTTTGGATGTGGACTTGTATATAAGGTATGATCTTCTATGATCTTCATGACCAAGTGTTTTCTTTCCAGAGGCCCAAACATAAACCCAGCATATATTGAAGAGAAAGAATTGAGCACACAATTTGCATGTTAAGAGAAGAAAACAGGTTGCTTAGGAACAAACTGTAGTTCTTGATGAAGAGGGAAGAAGGGGTCAAATTTAAGAGCTGGAGGACTTCAGCAGGTTTGACAAGAATTACTTAGATTGGGAAAAAGAGGAGACCAGCAAGAAGCAACGCTGTGCTGGTGAAAGCCTCCAAAAAGCCTGAAAATGTCTGGTGAGAGGTAAAGAAGCTGCTGTTCATCCCCCCTTTCACTGAATGTGCAAATGGGCTGAATGAAAGCTTGCCCTACCCTTTTATGTAGCATTTAACTCTTATCTTCTGTCATTAGCTAGCCTGCTTCAATACATGTAAACAGGATCAAGGGGCAAAATGGTTAATGCTGATGGAAATGCTTTATATAGTAAGGGTACGTGATAGGGAGGTGACAGGTCACCTCGTCCATTTTCCCCTATTAAGTGGTGAATGCCTCCAAGGCCCTAGTCCAACTGCTTAGCAGTGCTTTAGGACTTTATCTTTTCTCCAAGCCTCAGAAGAAAGATAGTGGTACAACATCCCCTTCAAAGCACGCTACCTCAGTGATTAAGGGTGAGGTGAAGGTGCCGGACAAAGGTGGTTTACAGCTCTGACTTAAGAGCTGTGTAGGAACTGCTCAGCCCTGACAGCAAGTCACAAAAGCCTCAGAGTTGCTGTAGTT